TGATCCCTCCCCTCCTCCCCCATCCAAGCAGCTGCAGCATGACCGAAGCCATTTCTTAGTAGTAGATTTTTCCATGATGAGGGCAGACGAGTTGTGACATGTGGGCCTGAAGTCCCTGCCTGGTGACAGAAACTGGAGCAGAAGGATTAAAATGACCAAACAGCAGTGGACTAGAATGACCAGGATGTTGCAAATGTACGGGCATCCTTGATGGTGGCAACCATGGATAGGAATCTTGAGACTTTAAGAACCCCCAAACCGCACCTTCCTAATGAGGGACTGGAAGCCAGGCTGGGTCAGAATGGGAACGGTAGTGTGGGGAAGCAGAGTGTGCTCTGGGGAGAGGCAGCAGCTTGGCCCAGGCACTGCTGGTGATGTCCGTCTGCTGGAAAGTTCACCCACAGATGGTATGCTTGCCCGGGCCTCATTGTCACCCTATGGTCCTGAAGCTCCCCTACTCTGCTGTGCTGGGAGCCGTGTGCTCAGTCTTAGCCGTAATGAGACTGAGCCGTAATTTCTAGGTGGAGACGTCTGCTAGACGGATGGAGGTGCCAGGCTGGAGACGGGGGATGGGGAGGAAGTTGGGGCTGGCTGTAGATACAGAGTACCCTGCACTGGGCAGCTCACTGGTTCTCCTGATGTTTTAGTGAGTGTTTAACTATTCTTTAAGGTGTCTGTGAATATGCAATGAGATTATGATCAAAGGGAGTAGAAGAACGTTCTGTTTTGGTAAAAGTATTGGCAGAAAATTTGCAGGGAAACTTTAGGATTTAATCTTTTGACCTGGGTTGCCATAGTACCAAGACATGTTAAAAGCAGGTTTGGGGTAGCATAAAGGGGTAGAACAAAATAGGAAGCAAGTGAGGGGGTCAAACCTTACAACTAAAGGAAAACAAAGATAGAGAAGGTCTAAATTCTCTGTTTAAGGAAGACTGTATTTAAGCTATTGCAGTAGCCTGCACCGGTGACCCTGCTAAGGAAACACAGCATCAGCCTGTATTTCCCCCATTTCTCGCTCCTGGACTTTGTTGCTGCTCACGTTTGTGTGGTACAGGAAAGAGGGGATAGGGTTGGGAGGGAAAGAAAAGAACATCCATCCTCCGCTGCTCAGCGCTATGGGAAGGGCTGAAGTGAGCTCTACCTAGGACTCTGGCAGCACCCTGCAGGCGGGGAAAGGAGCTGCCACGGCGGCCACCTCCTGGGTTCCTACCCGCCCTGGGAATTAACTGAGCATAGCACGTGGGCTTGAAATTCCGAGGCCTAACACCTGATCTCAGAAGCAGACGGGGCCCTGGGCACATGAGCGAAGGGCAGAGCCGTGGGTTGCATCAGTGATGTTGTGAAATCCATTTCCCAGGCAGGCGCTCCTTCTGCAAGTGAGCGCGCTGTGCGATCACATGAGCTCTTCAGTACTGAGCTCTGGGCAAGTCTTCTAGGCACCCATCCCACTCAAAGTGTAACCTGGGGTCAGGGGGCGGCAGAAGCTCGCCGTGTGAGGCTGAGCCTCGGACTGTGCTTTTGGAGACGGGCCTGCCCCGCTGCTGAACAGGCAGGCTGACGGACAGGGAAGGTGGGCTCTCCTGGGCGCGGAGTCCCACGGACCACAGAAGACCCACCTGCAGTCTGACGAGGGTCTGGTGGGTTGCGAGAAGGGCTTCTAGGGGACTTCAGGGTGAACTGGGGAGTGAATGGACATGGAACTTCTTCTTATACCTTTTTTCCTGGGTGGGCTGGCAGGGAAGAGAGGTGCAGTTTGGAGCCTGTTTTTAGCCATGGAATTGCTGTCTGCCGTACTCATGGAGGGCCAGTCTGGCTGCATAGATGACTTATATCCTTAAAGACGTGACTGAATCACCTTGGCTCCAAGTTCCCCTCCGATATCAACTTAAATGTCATTTCCATGAACCCCCCCATTTGGTTAGGTGTCCCCACCGTGTGTCCCCAGCCTATGCTGTTCTTTTCAGTCATGGTGGTTTCTTTATTGCCATGCCTTTGAAGGGCCGTTGTGACAATTACGGGTGACCCTGGGTTGAATTTGGTTTTAGGCATATTTTGTTTTGTTTTATTTTCCTGGAATAACCATCTGTAGCTTTCCTGTTTTCTTATTTTCTTCTCTTCTGCCTCTCACACCTGATTCTCCCCTTGCCTCTGAGCACACTGGCCCAGCCCCCAGCCCCTTGGCCCTGATGGGATGCCATCTGGGCAGGCTGCTGGGGTGGGCATGGCTGGGGGAGGGGGCAGGAGGAAGAGGGCCTCTCTTTAGTTTCTGAATCTCTTTCCTTGGTGTTTGTCTTCAGGGACCTGACCCTTCTAAAAAAAAGAAAGAAAAAACACCTAGCGTTGTGTGTTTAGACGCGCACGTGTGTTTTTTTTCACGTTCCGGCAGAGCCGCTGCCCGGCTGCAGCCTCCTCCGAGCTGCAGTCGCAGGCGGCACGGGCGTTTTTAAGCAGGGTGACTTGCTGTCGAGTGGCTGCTCTTCTGCTCCCGGGGCCATCAGTCTTGTCTTGAACGCCCAGTCCTGCTGGTCTGCCCGCTCAGGCTCATCTTTCTGGGGCAGACTTATTTACGGAGCCGCGGCAAAGGTAATCTCACTCCCTGGGCCCCGCGGCCTGGGCCCCTCTCAGCCACGCTTAAAAATAGCCTGAGACGAGAAGGAGAGCCAGGGTCTGGTTACCTCCTGCACGCACGATCCGATCTCACCTCGCCGTCTGCATCTGGCAGCTCGGCCCTGCTCAGGGGCCAGCGGTCAGCCTGTCAGCCCCTCCCCACTCGCAGCTCCAAGCTGGTGGTGGTTTCCCTTAAGGGAAGTAGGGAAGGGCGTGGTGGAGGGAGGAGGGCCCTCCCAGCCACCTCCGCGGGGGCCAGCCGAGTGGGACATCTCAGCCCTGGAAGCAGCGCGTCTGTGCAAGACGACAGGCTGTCAGAAGGGACGAGGGTGTGCTGGGTCCCAGGCCTGGAATCACGCGGATACCCGGTGGGGTGATGGCTGGCTCCCCTGCCTTCCCCCACCCCACCCCCTGCCTGCCGCATGAGTAGCAAACACCTTGGCCAAGCCCTGGAAGCCGGGGAGTGCCCTCTGACCCCGTGTGCCATGTTCGTTCCCCACCTGCTTTCGTAAAGTGGCCTCTTCCCAGTCTGGCCTCTTCCCGGCCCGCAGCAGTAATTCCCGAGATGACCTTGGGGAGGCCTCATCCTAGGAGGCCTTGGTTTCCTCCCTTAGGCAGTTAGGGTGGATAATTCTGGCTCCTCCTGTCTTACCGCAAAGGCCTGTGGTGGGATTGATTCATCAGATGGGGGAAAAAGAGCCTGAAGTGATTCAGTCTGAAAAATAAGGGCTCTGCGGATGCAGTCACGCTTGGATTGGTGAACTGGCTTCACTTCTTCCTCAAGCGTGTGCCTGCTTGGGTGGTGAGTGTGTGTGCTGGACTGAGTGCGTGTGTGACGTGCATGTGTATGCGCGCGCTCCGGGAGAGAGTGGCTTACCTCACAGCTCACTCGCTGTCGACACTTGTCATTTGTCTGCCTCACAGCCTCCCCTACTCCCACCCCTTTTGTTCTCTTGGATAGGAAGGCTCTGGGCTCCCTGTTCTGTGTCACAGACTTGATCTTGGAGTCCTGTAAGCTCCCTGGGGAGAGCACTGAAGGGCAGGTACGGGGGAGGAAGTTAAGACTGAAGGGAAGCCGGTCTTTTTCCGAAGGCCCAGGACATTGAGGACCCAGCCCGGCCTCTCTAGCCTCCCGTCCCGCTTTTCTCTCTGACCTCGCCCTCACCTCCAGTTATATCGTAAGGTTCCTAAGTTTCGCCACGCCCTTTCTTACCTTCAGAACAGTGCACGTGCTCGTTATTCCTTTTGTTTGGACCTGTTCCTTTCCACCTATCCCTTTATAGGATGCCTCCAAGCTTCCTCTAGGAATCAGCTCAAACTCTCCTTCCCCGGATACCCAGCCTCTAGCACAAGTCCCTCACGCGCCCTCATCCTTTCCTAGTTGTGGCACCTTATTGTAACTGCTTCTTCAATCCTCTGTCTTGCTGCCAGAGTAGAAGCTCCACGAGGACAGGGCCCTTCCTGTCTCACTCATAATTGCCTGGCACAGTGCCCACCACCTCGTAGGGACTGGGCGCATCTTTGAAATAATCATGAATGAATGAGCATCGTGAATGAGTGACAGGCAAGTGAGGAACCCAGTGCTCCCGATGCCCATGTTCACAGCACAGATGAACACACACAGCTCCGCTGTCGGTGGGCTCCCCTCACCACCGCACACCACCATCGTGCCTGGGATGCAACAGGAGAGCTTGTCCAAGCACCTGGGCGCACTTCAGAGAAGGCCAAACCAAGGGCCCGGCTTTCTGAATGTTTGCTGCAGGGAAAGAACTCGGAGGGCTCTTGGGCAGCCACTGGGAGGAGTTAACTTTCCCCAGTGCAGCTGCAGGGGCTGGTGGCACCAGTGGCATCTTAAAGCTCATGCTCTCCTCTCTCCCCACTGATTCATGTTTGAGTCAACTCCCAGCTTCTCCCCTCTCCTGCCCTGTCCCCATCTCCCCGCCAGGTTGGGTCCTGGCCCCAGTCCACAGGATGGAGCTGCTATTCCCAGCTCGTCCATGCCAGCCTCTGACTCCCAGGAGAGCCAGCCCCCTCGGTGGCCACGGCAGCGGGTTTGGGCAGCGGGCCTGCCTGCGACTGACGTCTCCACCTGCTGGCTGTCCTGACCCTTGCTGCATGCAGCTCTCCGTCCCCGCCGCCACTGCCCCCGCCGTTACCATTGCTGCTTCTGCTGCTGCATTATTTTATACCTGACAACCTGGAGACCCTGGGTAGGAAGCATGGCCAGGCAGAGGGCACCGTGTGCTGCTCCCGCAGGATATACTCCTGTTGGACGCTCCAAATAAGTTTCCCCTGAGACAAAGTCCAAGGGGGTGGGCACTAACCCTCTGACTATGTTGCTGTCCGCCCCCAGGGACCCTTCCATGAAGACTGAGGCAGGCATAGCTGCTGAGAGCCTGCTGACATGACATCGGCCACGGAGGTTGAAAACGTGGGCAACCAGCCACCGTACAGCCGGATCAATGCCCGCTGGGATGCCCCGGACGATGAGCTGGATAATGACAACAGCTCAGCCAGGCTCTTTGAGAGGTCCCGGATCAAGGCCTTGGCAGGTACTCTTCGGGGCCGTGGCGGTTAGGGGAGCCGCTCGCCTAATCCCGAGGTTCACTGCCCTTCCCGCCTGTGGTGAATCCTCTGTGTGCGTTGGCGTGAGCCCTAGCAGGGCGGTGATGGAGACGTGGCTGCGTGGCTCAGAGGCCAGGGCCCCTCGGGAGGGAGCACAGATCAGGCAGCCTCTCTTCCCACATGTCCCCCACTTCCTCCCAGGTGTGAGGTGCTGCAGGTGGACCGTTGGCCTCAACCTCTGTCCTGAATGACCTGTGTCCAAAGTCAGAAGTGAAAGAAGGTCTGGGCGAAGGAGTGTGTGAGGGGCAGGACAGCCGGGCAGGGGTGCGTGGACCTCATTATGGACCTCGATCCCCTGCCTGGTCCTGGATAGAGGAACTGTCATCATCTTCTCTGTGGCCCCGAAAGGAAAGGGTGATTCGATAGGAAACTGAGAACAGATAATGTCTTCCCCACACTGCCTCAGAAAGGAGGATTTTCTGGACGAAACCTCTTATCAAACTGGAATTAGATTTTTTTTTTAATAAATTTATTTATTTTTGGCTGCGTTGGGTCTTCGTTGCTGTGCGCGGGCTTCTCACTACGGTGGCTTCTATCGTGGAGCGCAGGATCAGTAGTTGTGGCGCAAGGGCTTAGTTGCTCCACGGCACGTGGGATCTTCCCGGAGCAGGGTTCGAACCCATGTCCCCTGCAATGGCAGGCGGATTCTTAACCATTGCGCCACTAGGGAAGTCCCTGGAATTAGATTTTTACTTAGCAGGTTCATAATAGATTTGTGTGTGTGTGTCTGAGAGAGAGAGGGAGAAAGAAAGAGAGAGAGGGAGAGAGAGAGGGAATCTTTAATCTCTAGTGGAAATGGCTTCTCCTCCCCCTGCTGGCTGAGATCTGATTCTTGGGATTTTTCCCCCCTCCAACCCCTGTGACCATTGCCTCCATGGAGCCCTGCCCAGGGTAGCTATGTTCTGACCCTAAGTCCTTGACCAATAAAGAGAGTTTGGGTTACATGGGGTGGTGTATGGGTCAGATCAGACTCGCATCCCCCATCATCGATTGTTCCATCTTCTGCCTTGTTTGAAGGGCACAGCCTTCCCATAAGTACTCTCTGGGCTGATTCTCCCACTGCCCCTCGCTCATGGCCCTCTCTGAGGTTCCTTGTGGCCCTCTCTGAGGTTCCTTCCACCTTCTCTCCCTCCACTCTGTTCCCAGGTGCCTGGGTCTCCAACTGACCTTGAGTCGTGAGCAGGGCCCCTCTGAGGCCATGATGACATTTCACCTCAGGAGTGTCTGGGTTTCCCATCCCTGTAAAAGGGATGGGATAGCTCATTCCCTTGTCACGGTGGAGAATCTTTTCAGGTCTCAGCCGTCACCCTTTTGGTCCTTGCTCTTTGCAGGAAACTCCCTTTCTTCTTCCTTCATCTCCTCCTCACCATCCTTTACCCCACAGAATCCTTCCTTGGTTTTCCTAGGGGATGTATACTGGCACCAACCCCAGTGTAATTTTAACCTCTTTAAATAACCAAACTTGGAACCCTTGCCTTTGCCAGTCTGGTGACCTTCTTTGTGTCTCATGCTGGCTGGGTCTGGCTGCAGTGACCCTGGGATACAGCTGGAGGGAGAGCGGTACTGTGTTCCGTAAAGTTTGCCAAAGAACAGCTTGAGGAGTGGGGCTGTCTTTCGTGTTTCACGGGTAACCTGTTTTTTAAGAAATCGAGGTAAATTCCATTTTAACAATTATCAGTCACGTTCCTACTATGTGTAAAGCTAAACCCCTACCCAGACATGAATGTGGAGAGGAGGGGAGCAGAGAGTTGGATTCAACATAGTATGCGTCCCTGAGGAGTTTATGATCTATTAGGGAAGTGAACAATGTTCATCATTAATTAGCATGAGTAGAATTAGAGAAGAACTATGGGAAAGACACATAATTAAATAGCAATGAGAGAACAAAGGGGGAGATGCCGGGAGCATCAGGGACTTGTCTATGGAAGAGGTGGCCCTGGGGCCGGGGATTGAAGGGTGTGTGTGGTTCTAACAGGCCGATGGGCTAAGAGTTGGTCCAGTTGGCGGGTCTGTGTGGTAGCCTGGCCTGAGTGATGCGCAGCCTGGGAAACTGGTAGAACTGGGTTGAGCAGGAAAGGGCCCTCTATCAGCCTTGCCTATTCCTCACTACGAGTGTGCATCTCATCTATCAAAGCATCTGAAAGCCCCCCAGAAGGAGAGGAACCGCAGAGTGTAGAGTTGCATGCCTGGACCTTAGTCATTTAGAACATCTGGCTAACAAGTAAACATGCAAGTTTGGGGTCCATTCAGGATTTTTTAAAACAAAGAAAACCCTAACCAGTTTACTGAATTTCCTCTCCTGAGAGCCCACTCTGAGTGACCTGTGGGAGAAACTAAAGCTTTGAGAAGGTCCAAAGTAGAGTGGTTGGGTAGGCAGAGCAGAGAAAGGGAGCGTCAGTCTCCCACACCCACCTCCCCACTGGTTTTAACTTCTTGACGTTTTTCTCTTCAGTGCCGTCTTTGGGGCTGACTTGGCAGTCTAGGCGGGGTCAGCCTTTCCAAAGAGGCTTAGGAAGCAGAGGCTGCCTTTGGTCCCTATTATTCCAGCGTGCTCTGAGGCCACTCCCCCACTCCCAGGAGTACTACGGCAAGGAAGGCGTGCAGCCCTGTATTTCTTAAAAGATGGCAGTGATCTGCTTTGTACGTATACATGGCAGCGTTGGAGATGTTGGCCTGGTCTTTCCCATCTCAAATCGAAGGTCCTGGGATGAGGAGGAAAATGTCGCAAGACCCAGATTGAGGTCCTGGTTCCACTGCTAATGCTACTGCCATGGAGGACAGTTCAGTCAATCTCCTGGGTTTTTCTTTTTATAAATTTATTTTATTTATTTTATTTTTGGCTGCGTTGGGTCTTCGTTGCTGAATGCGGACTTTCTCTAGTTGCTGCAAGCCGGGGCTACTCTTCGTTGCGGTGCGCGGGCTTCTCATTGCGGTGGCTTCTCTTGTTGGGAGCACTGGCTCTAGGCACGCGGGCTTCAGTAGTTGTGGCTCACGGGCTCTAGAGCACAGGCTCAGTAGTTGTGGCTCACGGGCTTAGTTGTTCCGCGGCATGTGGGATCTTCCCGGACCAGGGCTCGAACCCGTGTCCCCTGCATTGGCAGGTGGATTCTTAACCACTGTGCCACCAGGGAAGCCCCCGATCTCCTGTTTTACGCAATGAAGACAGTAGTATTTTCCCAAGGTAGTTGTGAAGATCAAGTAAGATAAGGTTTATGAAAGTTATTTTATTAATAATATACTAGGTGAATGTTAGTATTTATAGGAAATCTCCTTAAGAATAGTATCTTTCTTTTTGTTTTCTTTTTTTTTTTTTTTTGGCCTTGCAGCTTGTGGGATCTCAGTCCCCCCACCAGGGATCGAACCTGGGCCCTTGGCTGTGGAAGCGCTGAGTCCTAACCACTGGACCGCCAGGGAACTCCCAGGAATAGTATCTTTCTGTCCCTTCTCTTCTCCCAACTTCAGATATTCGAGTTCATCAGCTCAGTCAATGTCCCAGTTACCTTGGCCTGTTCCAGGGACAGTTTCTTCCCTCTTAACCCCCACCCTCCTTCATCTTAGAAGGCTTGAGTTGGAAAAAAGAGCCAGGGACCAGCGGAATTAGGCTAATGCTTGCCCTTCGAGCTCTTGGCTTGGTCCCCAGGGACCCAGGGGCCATGGGGATGAAGCCCGCTGCTGTGCAGATCTTTCTCCAAAGGCATCCAGCCTAGACCCCAGGTGTGTGTCTGCCATCAGCTGAGTGACAGGAAGGCACAAGAAACCAGAGGACGGTGAGGCCCTGTGAGATGCTCTTCCTAGTGTGGCAGCTCTTCCTGGTCCCTCTCTGCTTAGTGACCTGTGGTTAGAGGACTTGCATTAGGTTAGCTGGACTCCATCTATTCTGCCTCTTAAGTCGTCTTCCTCTCAGCTCCAAAGGAAGCACTCCCTATTCAGCCTTTCAGACCATTCACGGCTCTTCCGCCCAGGGCCAAAATAAACAAGCCATCTGGTTATTCTGCCTGGAAACTGCCACGTTGGTATACAAATACCTGACTCCTCTCCAGAATGAATTACTCTGGGTTCAAAACTGGATCAGCCTGACTAAAGTGAAAGGGGAGGTGGGTAAGAAGACACTGCAGAAGGCTCCTGGATGGGGATGGATTGGACCTTGGCATGCCAAGGGGAGGGTTGGGGGCCCAGCAGGAATATTTGCAGGTAGGTCCCTGGGCAGATGTTGCGCCCAGTGTCAGCCTCTAAAGCTGACAGCGCTTCCTGAGGTTCAGCGGTGGCTAAGTCCTGAGGCTTCTTCCTGAACGGGAGGCCATTCTCTGCTTTGATGACTGCCTCTGGCCCCTCCTACTTTTCAGACTTGCTTTGAAAGTTAGAGGAAGGGGAGCAGCTGGAAAGCCCAAGTTCCTATCCCTCCAAGAGGTTCCAGCCTTCGTGTTTCAGTAAAAAAGAAAAGCTCCCAGTGTCTCCTCGAGCCATCCTCATCGTCACTCACCCCGTTTCCTGTCCTTCACACTGGGCGCCATTAGGCAAACATTTGTGGGTCTGAATGAGGGATGAAGCACTGCAGGCTGCGGGGAGTTTTCGGCCAGAACGCCTGCCCTTCGTGCCCTCTTTCCTCATCCCAGAGGAGGCCTCTGCCTGCACGCACCCTCGCACCTGTTGTGTACCCCTGTGATCTGGGTGAGGATGCTGCCTCGGGGCAGATGTGGCCTCACTGGGCGGGGATGGTGGTGGTGGGGGTTGGGGGAAGGCAACAGAAAGATGCCCTGAAAAGAGAAACCTTGTGCACTAGCCTCCATCGCACATCCCCTGCCTGCCTTATGCACGTACACAGCTCAGCCTCCCCGCATCCCAAGTGCCGCCCGCTGTGTGATTTCCAGCTCACTGATGCAGAGGCATCTGGAAGGTTGCAGTGCAGAGAGCAGGCTGGGGCCTCCTG